TGTTGCCCCATTTTAAAATTTATTTTTTCTTTCATGCGCTATTCAGGGAGAGGCAACATGAGAAATTGCACAAAAGGACCTGAAAAACCTCATGTTTAAACAAACGCTGACAGCTAGGGCTCCTCTCTGGACTGCTGGAGCCAGAGACAAGTTGTTTGGTGGGTAGCGCAAGGGGCCAGCAAATCTCCCTCCGCGGTTATCTGGGAGCGTTTTTGCCAGTGATAAGGCCCCATCAGGAAGCGCAGCTGGATGGAGGAAGGAAATTTCATGGGGGGGGGGGGGGGGGGTCCGATGGGGAGAAAAAAAAATTCCAGGGGTATTTGGGAAGTTCAGCCAGATAGGAGCTGCAGAAAATGACTCCCGCTCTACCCCGGCCGTGCGCACGTACGGCTACAGGCTTTGGAGAGACTACGGAGAAAAACAAAACACCGCGTCCGCAGCGTCCTCCTCCCCCACCCCGTGCCTTTTCCAATACTTCCAGGCCTGCTTTTCTTGAGCTGCCACAAGCCCTCCCGAGACTCCATTGTCATTCCTGGTCGGTATTTTCTTTTTTTTTCATTGGCATTCTGAAAGGCACGATACCGGAACAGAAACGGAGATGTTTCCAGTCTGTGGGCTGCTGTGGAGCTGTGGCCATCGTGGCTTCAGGACTGGGGGCAATATCGGAAGAGCTATTTAAATCCCGTGTCCATTTTGCTGGAAAAATTGAGGTTCAATAAGAATTTTTCCACATTTCCTGTTGAGTTGGTATGAGCTGTTAAAAGTGTTTATGCAGAACTATGAACTTACATCTTCTTATTATTTCACTCAAATTTCTCTCGAATTAATTAAATCATTCATGCTGTGAACAAAAATGTTGTAAATTTAATTATAATACTCAAAAGGGACAATTTAATGAAATGTTTTTGCAAAATGTGTTTACAGGATTTTTTAGTTTCGGACAGTCAAAATACAGTATTATGATAATTAGCAGCACTTGCCACAAGAAGAAAGAGTGATTTCATAGTGTTTGTCCTGTGTTATTTTACTGATTTTTTGTGTTTATTCCTGAAGGCAGCAAAAGCATATATGACACTAAAAAGTAAAAGCCATACATAGTGACACTTCTGCTGAACAGATAGCACTTTTTCACAATTTTCTATGCGTACTGGACAGAGAACAACAAAGGCAAAACACAGCATATACTGTACTTCAGAAAACAGAGTGAAAGTAGCAATTACACAGGTATGTTTGTGTTTCTATAGTAACAAGTTCAGTTAGTTCCTGTTAATGCTCATCAACAACAGTAAAGTTACCGTCACCTGGGCAAGTGTCTGAAAGTGCTTCTGCCACTTGCTAAGCTGCTGCTAATTTTATGATGTGCAGCTAGTTCAAATACTGGTGAGGTTGTGGTTAAGGCTCTGGGCTTGAAACTGGAAACCATTTGTGGTTTTCAATCCCTCAGGTGTGGGTCACTACTGTACGGTCAGTCCTGAAACTTCACTCAGATTGCTCAAGCAAAATACTCAGGTCCACAAACCAGGAGTGCAGCGATAAAACGTTTGCATGCTTTGAAGGTGAAATAGGTTTGTGAAAGAAATTCCAGAGTAGTCATGTTATGTACAGCTACTTAAATTACTACACTTTCTAGTGTATATTATTGAGCCTGTAATGATGAACTAAAACAAACTATACTGTATATGTATATTCTGTATGATGGTACAATGCTACTATTAGCTACAGTATCGCCTTACAGAAATCGCTAGTCTTCATGTCAGCTCTCCTACTAACATGTTTCACTTCAATTTGTTGAAGTGTAGGATGACGCGTAATCAAGAACTGTACTGAAAATGTGACAACGTGTCATGATTTGTGTCAGTGATCTAACATCTAAACACTCTGAAAGTTAGCAGCGGTAGCTTTCCACTCAAAATTCAATCACACTTTATATAAATCCCAGTCACATTTCAAAATCTCCATAAATCATCTTACTATTTGTATATAGTATAAACTCGGGTGAATAAAAGTATATTTAAGCTGTCAAAAATGGAAGGCGCTCTTCTGTAGAACAGATGTTCTATGTATGTGCATACAGCTGAAGCATAACTTCACAAAGAATTATATTCTCTCATGTTGTTTATTGAATAAATAAAGGCTAAAAATGTTTCAGAAGATTAAATTAAAATGTTCTAGTAAGGCCGAAAAAGGAGCACTTAGGAACTTACAGTCCCTTGCAGGAAGAGACTGTTGCAGTTATTGCAGCTAAAGGTGGTATAACCAGTTAATGAATCTTAGGGGGTGTTAACTTTTTTTGTCCACACAGGGACATTGGATGTTGGATGAAATAAAAAAAACATTAACCAAACCTGGTCTTATTTGTTCACTCAGTCTTCTTTTATGTATCACTGGGGCCCACATGAAACATGAAAATATTCAGTGGCGAAAGCATGCAAATAAATTGGTAAATCGTATGTCCTGTAACCAAAACAGTGTGCCATCAACAGCACAAAGTGCAGAAAATGTTAAGAAAAGGATAGATAAGAAGACTTTGTCTCAAACAAAATTCTACCAGAATTAAAGCAGAATAAATTCAAGCAGAATTAAAGAGCTGATGCTGGACAGCAAGCTTATTTTACTTTTCAATAGGCAATCACAGGTGAGAAGACTTAACACCAAAAGCCACTTGCCAACACCACCCATCACAGAGGAACTTTAAACAAAACAGCAAAAGAGATACTATGGAAAGCTCTCATGTTTTACAAGGTATTATTTCAACAATTTACACATTCAACCTCACAGAGAAACACTGTATAAGGGTAAATCCACTTTAAAGACCTTGACATTTTCTGAAAAAAAGCCTATTAGTTTAACCCCCTGGAGAGAGAAGAGGTACTGAGGTTAAAAAGGCAAAAGGGGTGGAATCTCTTTCATGTTCAGTGCACATCTAAGCAGTTTAACAATGTATAAACACTATACAATGCCAGCACTGTACTTTTCAAAGCAGTTAAAGATAAAATTGTTTGCTTTAATATTATTCAACTACTGCAGTATAAAGTATCCAAAAACTCTTGTGAAAGCCTCGAAAAGTGAAAATAGCTCATTATTAATTATACTTAAATCCTAACTGGTATCCTTCTAAATATAATAGGAAGATGAAGATTTAAACTAGGCCATTAAGTAAATCTGTTAAGCTGAAAGCAATTTCACAACATGTGAAAAGACAAAAAAGCATATTACTCTATGAAGGATCTGAACAGTCCCAGGACAAATCTGTACACATCCCAAGATGGGTGAGAGCAAATATGAGAAAAGGGATCTGCTTCCTTTGACTGAAGGCCAAGTATTATTGGTAGCAACTTTTAATTCAGGAGAAAAGCAAGATAATAACCTCAAAATGGACATGTAGGTATTGATTTCCTTTATTTTTCTAACCTAAATAAGGTTTCCTAATACAATTACAGGTAAATTAAGTGGAAATAATCACAGGATACAATGGTAGGCCAAACTCTTCTAATATTCTCTAGTCGTATGCTCAGTGGCTGAATTCTCATTCATGCTCTTAAAATCAAACCTGTCTTGATAGTTTTTACATTTGGTGTAAGTTTTAAATACATGCAAGGTCTAGAGCAAGTTATAGGGAATACCCATGGATGTACTTTTAGTGTTAAATTTAGCTGTTAATATTTTTGAGGAAATGAGTCTGCTTTTTGATACTCACTTATGAAGCACTGTGAAGGATTATAGCAGCATATCTTCTTGTCATCATATTTCCTTCATATTTGCCAAAACAACACACGACAATATTAAAGCTGAAGCAACACTGTCAATAAATAGCAGACTTTTCCTCCAGAAACTAAACGGCATACATTACTTTAGTTCCGATGTTATTCGGCAACAAAAACACATTTCTCACACTTCAGCATACACTCTATGCAAACTTGAGCCCAATACCAAAAGGATGGGCATCTTCGCGATCAGCTGAATAAATTCCAGAAACTAGATTACCGATTATTGTCATGCCAGAATCAAGCAAACCATGTTCTCATCCTCTACAGCTCCAATCCTTGTCAATGGCTGGACTCATCGGTGGCCCTACCACTAAAGGCATATGGTTGAACTCGACAATCCAGGAGCTGCTGGTCATGTCACTAGCCGACTGACTGGGATTCACCAATAAGTGGCGCACAGATTCCCGCATTCTCCAAAAGCTATGGTTCTGATTAGTCAGCAAAGATCCTCTTAGCTCCTGGAAACACAGTGACTCCAACAAACTCCAAGGTGCTTGCAGACACACACGGTTGTTGCCAATGAGGGACGCAAGCCTCTCCCACAATAAGCGTTGAACCACCTGTGTTGATTGTGTAGCCTATAAGTAGACAAGCACCTCAAATATTGGCCAGATCAGCAGAGTCTGCCTACTGTACATCTCTTCATTCCCCCCACCCTGGTTTCAAGGCTCACAGCTGTGGACCAAGGAAGTGGATAACATGAAAATGCCTATTTCAAATTGTTAGGTTTAACAAAACATCACTGGTAATTCTAAATTTCCTAAAATTCTAAAAAGAAGATCACGTCACAAGGCAGGTCATGCACAGGTCGTGCAACCACTATTTGTCTTGAGCTAAAAAAAAAAATCAATCTGCTACAACTTGATGGTCAAAGGATCCCAGCTAAAAGCAGAGCAACAGTCTTCTGATTGTGTATAAGGCCAGTTATAATCAATTTGTAAAACTAAAATTAGGACTGGGGTGCCACATGTTCCACTGTCTGTTCTTGCATCTATTCAGCCAGTGTAGATTTAAAACAAGTGAGAGAAGAACAACATGCTTAACTTATACTTGAAAAATAAAATCTGTAAGTTACCCATAGGAAATATTAGGCTGCAAATAAAATCCAAGTTATTAACACCTGCGAATTCTTTGATCATCACAGGGGAGCTGGAAACCAAAACACAAAGACAGTAGGAAAGCTCTCCGCCGATTGCATGCAGAGATGAAGACAGACGATGAAAAACTGTTTACCTCTTCCTGCTCTTTAGACTTCTTTATCCGCTTCCCAAAGATGCAGGCTAGGTCACTCTCACTGCGACTAGACAGGTCCTTTCCTGCAAAACAAAAATTGAGCAGAACATTTAAGGCAGCAACTTGCACAATTCCTGCGAGTCTGAACCTCAACAAATGTGTGTGCTTGGGCAATATGAGGCATTCTTTTATAATAATTAAAAGGCTGGTTCATCATCCACACTTTTCAGAACACTTATCCAAGTCCTGCTAGCTCTACCAAGTGGATGGAGTTATAGAACAGTTTCTGTGTTTGTCAAGCAGGACTGCTTACACAAGATTAGCAGTTTTAGGTAAAGAAGATGGCATCATTAATGTCTAACTGTGGATATCATAGAAAGATGTAAAATTAATAAGATTTTGGCTCGCTCACACCGATTACTGCTAGAATATCACAGTCCTATTCTGAGACAGGAAAAAGTATTCTGCAGTAACATGATATTATGTTAATAGCATTTGCACCAATTAACTTTTAGCAAAAACGGTTGTTGTATCAGCCCAATAAGGATTTCTGGGCCTTGACTGTCCGAGCACTTGGATGATTATATGGATAAAAGGGATCCTGTATCATATCCCTATTTAAGACATTCAAGATAGAACTATACTATGACACAAAAAAAGGTAAAAATCATTTCTACATGTCCTCAATCTATTTATAAAAACATTTGTTAGCCTAGACAGTTTAATGTGTCTTTGCAATAATATGGTGCAGTCTGTACCATTCATTCTAGGAATGGCTGCACACATTGAGGAATTAGGATACAAGAACTGCACATTAGGGGAAAGGCACTCAGCATGTTACAGAATAAACCACAGAGGGATCCTTAGCAAAATGCCCACTGTACATGCACAAGGTTTTAAAACTGTTCAATGTTAAATTGGGTGGCATGGTGGTACAGTGGGTTGTACTACTGCCTCACAGCACTGGGACCCTAGATTCAATTCAAGACCTGAGGTGTCATTTGCATGAAATTTCTATGTTCTCCCCATGATTAGGTGGGTTTCGTTTAGGTGCTCCGGTTTCCTCCCCCAGTGCAAAGACATACTGTTGGGTTCACTGGCGTCTGAGAAAAATGGCCCTGCTGTGAGTGTGTGTGAGAATGAGGGTGACCTGCAATGGGCTGGCATTCTGGCCGTGAAGTATTCTGCTAGTCAGGACTGGCACCTGCTCCCCCATGACCCAGAATTGGATAAGGGGGAATTGGTCCACTTCTCAGATGGATGTCTGAAGAATGAAAGTGTTATAGTTGTCCTTGTCAATTACTTTATAAACGCTGCAAAAAACATTTATTCAGAACAAATTAAAAACGACAGTAAAACTTTCGTTTACTGACTATAAAAACATGTTGATTAGGCCATGTCGAACAAAGGCAATGAAGCAAGAGCTAAAACTACATTGTAATCTTCAAAGTCAAGTCAAAAGCATTTGTGATTAAACCAAATAAATTGTAAATTTAGGATACAACGTAAAAAATAACTCCCCAAATCCACCACGTCTTAGCTACTGTTTTCTAGTCATTTGCTCCCCTCCAGTAGCACACAACACCCATGTCTAAACCCACATGCATGAACACCAGCTGTATCCTCTTTTCCTGAGTAATTTCACAAAACAGTCTCTCTCAAAACCTTTCTTCATAGCAAACACAGATGTTGACCAATTAGCCTCGTCAGATCAATCTGGATATAGCTCAATTACAAATGGAGATCTATGTCTGGTGTGGCACAAATCAGACTTATATTTGAGAACAAGTTCATCGCATTGGCAATAATTAGGGCCTAGAAGAACAAGATTAATCTGGTGTACTGTAATTTCAGCAGTAACATTTTGCAAAATGAGTAATATATTGGACCATGCTCAAAAGAGAACAAAATAATAAAAAACAAAAAATGAAAGATTGAGATTAATATTACTGAGAGGGAGTTTGATTTTTTTTAAAAAGCTAACCATAAATGACCAGTGTGATTCTGCTCTAATATATCCCTTGAAAAAGTTGACCTAACATGCATGCAAGTCCCACATAATACAATGGATATCAAAAGTACCTACCCCCTTTTTATAATTTAATGTCTTACAATATTGAGACATAATGGGGCAATTCAATTCCTACAGCAAGACAACTTATAGGAGTATTTACCAAAGGTTGTAGATATTCACAAAAAATAAATTAATGGGCCGATCAAAATATTTATAGTTAATAATAAATCTATAGATGCTAAAGATCATTATGCTCTGAACATTTTGTTTCACACAAAAGACAGATGAACTGACAGCTCTACCACCAGATAAAATATCTACACATCTTGAGTTAGTCTTCCATGCATAAAGCATTGCGACATGCTTAGATGCATCTGAAGTGGATTTGAACCCGAGTGGATTCAGCTCGGATAGTGCGAGGGACACAATCAAGTCATACAACGACATTCTTCATTGTATTCTTCAAAGATTCTTTGTGTTCCGACAGTGACACGGACAGCATCGCTGCCGTGTGTGCCAAGGAAGAAAAGAGCTTGGGGCGGCAAAAGTCAAGGCAATTCCCAATTCCGTTCTAGGTTCTGCAACTGAAAATATGACATTTTGTGGCTGAGGGGTTAAAATCGATTTCTACTGCACCCTGATCAGTCATACAATTTCTCAAGAAAGTAAACACTGGGAGCTCTGATCCTTTGACTTAAGTCGTTCAAGTATATTTAAGCGCCAACACTTACTTGAAAATCTACAAAAGCAACATCTTTCTTCCTTCATCAGGACATTAAATGGTTAGCATGCTTAGAATAAGTGAGCCCACGTGTATTCATGGAAAAATGAGAATCCTTAGTGGTAGGCATCAGAGACCAAAATCCAGCAAATAATGACTTGAGTAAATGAAGCAAAAATTCATAGTAGCCGTTATGTGAACATGGAAAACGCAGTAAAAGAAATAGACATTAAATCCTTTTACATTTTAACAGGGTAAATGACTTTATCCACAAAAAATACTGAAGTGTATATACACAATACACTATAGCTATACGTATCTCTTGGAGTATTTTACAAACAGTGTAATTACTAAGCTAGTCAGGTTTGCATATAACATCAAAATAATAGTATTAGTATTTAAGCATCAAATTAAATTAAATTCTAGAAAATTTTACAATTTTAAGACTAGGACATGCAATGTAAACACGTGCAGAGCAAAGACAACTAAAAAAAACACTGAGCCTGAAGAGACTATTTATGGAAAAAGACATACGTGTTTGTTAACACATCATCTACATCTTCTAGACAATGCTGGTAAGCAATAAAAAAGGCAAATACATTAAGATATATTTAAAAGTTGAGATCAATTTGAATCAAGGGATGTTAAAATTGTACAATTCAATAATAAAACCTAATTTACAACAGTGTGTACAGTTTCGATAACCATGTTACATGAAACTATTGCTGTGATATTGCTGATCTGTAATCTGGGCAAAATATTCCTCTGAAGAGTGAATGGGACAAAATCAAAACAAAGGTCTAATAGCAAAGCGCAAAAGCCTGAAAAACACCTGAACAGTTATAACAGCTTGTCACGCCCTCTGGAAGAGCCGCCTGCCAAAGGTGACAACCACACACAATGATTTGTTTTTCCGACCGGATCATCCCACTCCATTCCCTCAAGCCATCCTGCTATGAGCATTTTTTGCAATGGGAGCGGACCTTAAGCTCTTCACCTTGCATTCCAAACTCTTCAGCATTTATATTTCCTTTATTCATCCGAGACCAAATTTGTTTTCAAGATTAACTGCTGAATAGCTGACACATGACCACTGAAGTGCCAAAATCCAGGAGTTCAATGCTGCTGTGGTGCTCCACTGACTGCTTGAACACATCGGTCATATCAGGAGATCCCAAATGTTATCACTTCTGTTTCATTGAGGAGGATATGGCTACTGAGTTCACCTTCTTCTGCATCCTAGAAAAAAACACGTTAAAGTCTAAAGTGGACACAGCTAATCAGACTGGAGACAAAAGGAACTTTAACCCCAAACTACCTTCCTGATTTGCAGGTCATATGACATCCCAGTGGACTGCATTATCAAGGTCTCAACCGAAGAAAATATTTCATTATATTTGTCAACCCGAGGTAAAAATGCTTTTCATGAACTGCAGCTGGTAATATTTCAACTAACGATGGCCTAGCAGAAAACTCAAGGATCTCAATTTGAACTCTTTGCAAATAAGAGCTGAAGTACAGTATTCCAAAATGCTCTTTTTGGAGAGATCAACAGACATTAAATGGAAGCATGCATCTTAAACCTAGGAAACAAAAGAAGAGTTGTATAAATGCTAATGAAAATATCCCTATGGCTTAACCATATTTTTTCAGGTTTAAATGTAATTACCTCAGCTCTGAATTGCCATGTATATTTTAGTGAATACTCTGCTTAGGAACACTGAGCCAAGTACAAGCATAGCCCTATTAATAACAAAATAAGGCAGACTTAATTAACACCAAACCACACATCATCGCATATGGGAAACGCTCCCAGTTCTTGCCATAGAGATTTATCACGAAGCTTTGGCTCTGTAGCAAACAAATATACAGCCAGAAAAAGGCTGCATCAATCAAAAAAATGGTAATGGCTTTCCACAACCAACTTTACATCAAAAGATCCAAGTGTGAAGGGTAATGAATGAGAGGGCAATTAAAAGCAGGTTACTGGTTTACACAGTAGGTATGCCGAGAATGTCGAGACATTGATGCCTTTCCCAGACGGGCCAAAGGATAGCCATCAATCGTGGTTACCCAGAGTACAGCTACTGGCAGCTTATGGTCATCAATTAAGGACAAAACTACTCTCTAGTCAGGATTCTGAGCCCAGGTACTGCACCAACTATGACTGCTATCCTCCGGAGACAGCACCTGCTCTCTTCCATTTCTGTGCTTGATCTAGGTGCATCCTCAAGAGGCCTATTGACAGTTTCATTTTATCTATCCTTTATTTGTTTCTGAAGGGAGCGAGTGTAAGCATTTCATTTGGCAATCGCTTAATAAACGTATCTTGCTTTAACTTCTTCAAA